TATAATGTTTTTTTTTAATGGGAAATCATTGGTTAATTCAACTTTACAAATTGTGAATAACTTCACATGATGCTCAAATGTTTTGAAGCCACTTTAAAAAGTCTGCATCTCAATTCGCTAAGCATGAACAAAGGTTTGCTTAGTAATAGTAACTGTCAAGACTAGTTTCCTGCAGACTCCCTTTGCTCACTGATATATTTTTGGATTCACTCCCTCAAAAATCTGGGCTCAAGGCGCAACAAGCCTAAAACCCAAGGGGAAAATTTCCAGGGTTGTGTAATAAAAACAGCTTGGACAGATGAGCTCTGCAGACATGATTTATGAGGTAACTTTTATGGCCTGTTCTATTAAAAGCACCTACAATTTGTTGCTGCACCGAGGTCAGCCCCTGCTACATTTTGGTCCAGGGATTCCATTGTAAAAATCTGACTTGTTTGCTTCCCTCTGGCCAGGTACAATGTAGGTATTGAGGGAAAGTGCCACTGATCATCACTATAAAAAAGAGAGTTTGCAAATTACAAGTGAAGCACCCTCTTTTCCCTGCAAGCAACCATGGAGCTTTTTATAGCTCCATGAAGCAACTATATCTGTATTCCTTTCTCTCAGGTTATTGGTAAAACTTCAATGCATTTTTGAAGAGACTTCATGTCAACATTTATGCCTTCTTTGCCCGAGTTGTTCAAAAATTTGAAGATTTATCAGTTTTATTTCACTCAAACATCCCCAGTGACTCGGAATTAGACAAAGTTGGTCGCATCGCATGATCCGATTTCATCATATTTTGCACACGGAGTTGTCTCAAATCAACAATATAACCCTCTTTAATCGATAGTCATCAATGCTACAGAACCAATGCCGATGTGCTCCAGACGCCACACAATCCTGGTTCAATTAAATCACGAAATATCCAAACTTGCATGTCGCATTCCGAGCCTATCATATCCCAATCAACCGGGTCAAATTACATGTACCTAGTGATTAGACACAAAAGGCCTTGCAATGAGAACCCACCTTGTTGTTTGACTTTCTGCAATCACAGACACGAAACGCTAACCTCAACTCCGTTTTTTCTTCTTCTTTTACTTTACTATCGACACAAAATTACTGTGTTTGAGTGAACGATGAACTCTAAGTGTTGTTTACTTTGACACAACGGCCCGTTGAAGAGTAACCAAATTCGCGTTGCAATCGGGTCGCTTGGTAAACTCGTTAGGGGCAATATTCCACCTTTTTTTAATCACGATTTGGTGCTTCTCACTGATAAAAACCTATTAAATGCGGAGAAATGAGGGCAAAGCAACACTGGAAAGCTAGATCGTGTATCAAGTGTACAATATGATTGAAGCTTTCCACTTGAAAAGAATTTTTAATGAATGATTTTTAGTGACCAGATGGGATACCAAAAAGAAATTTGTTGACGGAAAAGCTGCATGCCTGCCAGAGTGAAATATGACCACATCCTTTAAAGAGGGCAGCCATCTTTGTCTGAAACCCTGAAGCAATGATTGATATGGTACAAAGTGAGACCTGATATCACAGGTACCAGCCTATTATACCAATTAACTTTTGATACTCTCATCACTTTCCTTGCTGATGTGCAGTAAATACAATGTATGTATAAAAACTTTACACTTGTAACACAGCATAATGTGACACATCCAATCAATTTCATACCTAGACAAATGTTTGGATAGTCTCAAATTGCCTCCAGGGTTTGGATCAGTCAAACATTAACAGACAGCAATTAGTTTCTCAATCAAGGAGAGACTTGTATGATGTTTGCGAAGCATGTGCTAAAGGGGTCAGAGATACCACATTATTTTCAGATCACTCATTTCAAGTATGGTCCAGCAAAGACTAAAACGTGGACTATGATTCCAATTTAAATGCTGGCTGGTATCAAAAGAAAGTTTATGCCACCATGATCTTAAACAAAAAGTACCAAAGTCAAATACGGAAGTAGTTCAACAAGCCCCTTTCCCCTCTGTTTTAATCCATTAGTCCCAGTACTGCCCGAAACCGCCCAGCCTTTTACTCCACGAACCACCCAAACTGCTTGGCGCTCTTGGTTTAATTTGGATATTTTGGTAAGTGCTTACGACTGAATGGAAAAACTTCGACACCTTCGAACTTCAACAACTTTTGATCAAACCACTGTCACCTTTGATGAACACAACAGTCGATTTCAGGGTTGTATCCACCCAAACACACATGTGGTTGTTACACAGTATTCAAGTCCTATAAAATAACAGTTTAGATAAACCCCCTAAAGCAGTTCGGTCAATATTTTGCCCAAAGGAGGCTGTGTGCCTTCTTGACTTTTTTTTGAAGACGGGAGCGCAAAAAATCAATAAGGGAGAACATGCCCAGAAACAATAGCAGAGACTAAAGGACCGGCAGTGAATCAATATTGTCTGACTGAAGAGTGCTTAGGGGTAATCGAAGGCGTCTTTTGAGTCTGGTGGGTTGCTTTGAATGACAGAACTGGTACACTTTTTTTTCTAAATGCTCTCATTTATTGAACCTTTAGAGTTTTTAAAGAGCTTGCATGCTGACATCGCCCCCACCAAACAAAAATAAAATCTTAACTAAGGTTGGATGCAGGCAAAGACTCAACATCTTGGGAAGGGTTGATTGAATGCTGAAATTTCTCTTTCTTCAATGGTTTCTTCAGAAAGATCCTGTGCTCTATGTTTCAAAACACATCGTCTTTTCATTTGGGAAAAAAACGTACAAGTGTATGTATAATTGTAATAACTTTATATGGCCTTGAGTTCTCCAAAATGTGCACATTATGTACCTGCATGCGTACAAATGTTCACCTACCGGTACAGTGTATGTTAGAAGCATTACTAATCATCAGGTGCACGGGCCAATTTCATAGAGCTGCTTAAGCACAAAATTTGCTTAAGCACAAAAACGTCTTGCTTAATAAAATCAGGTTACCGGCCAAAACTCCATGCGATTGTTATGCTAAGTAAACAACAGCTAAATACCAGTCACAAGCAATGTACATCACATGGAGTTTTGGCCGGTAACCTAATTTTACTAAGCAATGTTTTTTTCGTGCTTAAGCAAAATTTTTGCTTAAACAGCTCTATGAAATTGGGCCCAGATGTAAAATTAATAATTTAGGTGCCTTAAAAAACTTAATCCTGGCAACTTAAATGTAATAATACATGTAGCTATTTCAAGCATTAAATTTTTATACATGTATTACCAAGACACTACATGAATATCTACCGGTACACTAGCTTGGAAAAACCACAGTGTTTCAGGATATAACCCCAGACTGCACTTTCAAATCTGCACTTTCAGATTTTATCAATTGTACTGTATAACAATTTTTATAAAATTCCGTAAAAACAAAATCTGACCACAAAATCTGACCACAAAAACGGCCCCTTGATGTGACACAAGCAGATTTCAATCTGATCTAAGAATTGCAGGGATTTTCAGACCACAATAACCACATCCTTTTTGTAAGAATAATTTTTTGTAAAATTTGCTCCAGGCCAATTAAGGGCCTTGTACTGCAAGGGGAGGACAGAATTACTGAATGGCTGGCCAGTGCGGTGGACCTTTTGCAGCGATCAGCTGTAAAATCAGGAGGGATGTTTTGGTTGGTTAATTTTGATCGAGTGCCATTTCAGCGGCCGTGGCATTGCTTTTGTTAGAAATTTCTTTCTGGTGAGTTGTTTGCTGAAGATTGGGGGCAGGACTGGAAAGGCAAGCGGCAAAAGATAAACTGGCTGGGATAAAAAAAGAACGGGAAAAAAAGGTCGAAGATTTCTAGTCAATCGAACACTGTCAAGGATTGTTACAACAGGAGTTGTACAATTGCTGAACTTTTGTTTCGAAAGTTTCGAACTTCAAACCTCCAAGTTAAGGTCGAAGTTATTTGGTCAATACTTAAAAAGCTTTGTTGACAGAAAATTAAAAAGAAAAAGGAAGAGGTCAAATATTTCTTTTGATTCTTTCACGTACCCAGTACAGCTTTTTGCATTTTGCCAACTATTAAAAATTGAATAAGTTTTCTAGCTGAGGAATTTAAACTTTCTGAGGGTGACAAGTTGGACATCTATTTTTAACTAACTTCCTTCAGAATTCATTTTAACAATTTTGTTAGGAATGGGGAAACTGTAAGAAGGCACAAGAAAAAAAAAATAAATGAAAGTTCTAATACACATGAACAAAGAAAAAATAGTACTTTGGAAAAAAAATAATATCAACTTGTGACGAGGAAATACTATGCAAAAGTTTGATTTTGTTATAAAAGTAGAAATTTTAACATCAATGCATTTGCAGGATATGAATAAACACAGACGTCACTTCTGCTGAAGCACGCCTAACCCGTGGCCATTATAATATTTGTGACGTAGGCGGCTGATCAGAGTTTCAGGAAAGTACGAGTATAAGGAGTTGAACCGGAACATAATTGCCACACATCAACAGAATACGTACTTAATCCATGAAAAAAATGGCAGTCAAGCGTGTTTCTTTTTCCCTTTTTTTGAGTGAAAAGAATTTGTTGATTCACGTTCATCAATGGCAAGGATACGGAAATTTTATGAAGACAAGCTGTGTACTGACGTAGTTACTAACAAGCAAAAATCTTTGCATTGATGAAGAGTAATTGTACTCAAAGAGACAAAAATGCGGAAAAGACAGCAAAATTCAAAAAGTTTGTATCGGAACCATGCGGAACTGTTATTTTTGTTCTTTTCCCTTATTTTAGCAGTACTTTACTTTCAATGTTGTATAAAGAAGTTTGACATGACCATTGAGAATCTTAAGAAATTATGACGTACTGTACAGTGCATCATCATTAATACAAAAATGTATTCACTGTAAAAATGTTACAATGTATCACAGCACAATTACATGTAATACACTGTATACATCACATCAAACTTACACATGTACAGTATGTAATACAATGTACCAGTACGTCACATCACAATCAATACAATTCAATTTGACTTGTGTTTCTCCCTTACCTGTGACTTTGTTTCTCTGTCTATGAGCTGTAGGTCATCATGGGGGAACCTGTCTTGCACCTGCTGTAGACGAATCTCATTCTCCAAGACAGTCACCTCATCCTCCCGTTCCTTCACCATCTGAAACAAATATCAGAACAAAAAAAACACATGTACAGTTAGATGTGAGGAAACAAACAGATCACTGGAAATAATACATTTATTCGAAGATGGTCAAATTACTATCAAGTACAAGTCAAATTTTCAATTTGTAGTGAAGGAATTCGACACACTGCATGCCAGCACAAATATGCCCTCATTAAGTTTTCTGAGCACTTATTGCCAGGTCTAATTTCACCCTCAATGAACTGATTGATGAATGAGATGGTTATATTTTCTGGAAAAAAAACAATTGCCAAGCTATTTTGTGGTGAGTCCTTGGGTCTGTAACTAAGCCAGATCCTTTGGTCTCTATCCTCTTCTAAAGTTTAACAGCTTCCCAGCATACAATGTAAATGACAAGTGTAAGACTCTGACCAGTTTACCTTCAGTTTCAAAACCGACATTTGTCTCCTAGTGAGCGTTTTCAACAGCATCATCACGCTTTTCATACACGTACAACTTGAATCAAACAGGCACACGTGATTCTACCGACATCACTGCCCTGCTTGAAGTCTACAAACTAACTGAGATTTTTTAAACAAACCCAGGAAGTCATATCTTCCTTTATACCAGGAACTCATGGTAAATTTAATGCGTTCAAACACGTCCGCTGCAGCTTTGAATTGGTGGAAACAAACTGCACCAAATCCATAGAAAAACCACTGAAGTTGTCGGGCACTCTTTTGAACTTGTGAAATGTGCTCTATGCAGTGGAACACGTAACAATAAAAACATGTAGAGATCAGCACTTACCAACTAATTCCAAAATGAAAGAAGGTAGAGCTGCCTTGCAACAGTGAATGTACAGTTTAAAGTTAGAATCCTTAAAATTAGGTTGTGTTTCTGTCCAACAGGTTTCAGGTAATGATACACACAGACTCTAGTATGTTAGTATTTAGCCCAGTGCATGGACATGCATACATGTACATGTACATGTACATTGTACGTTTAGTACATGTAGTTGTTTGGTCAACCCAATGTGTGCACTGCATTGGACTGGATTAGCAGAGTTTATCAAACTGATAACGGCCAATAAAATATCCCAAGAGCAAACTCTCTTGCTGTTCAGGTTGTGTGTTTTTTTTTAATAGCTCTGGTGCTATGCCCCTATAATGACTCGGAGTGTGTGCTTAACATTTGTATACAGCTGTCAGCAGATTATAACTGTGTTCAATTAGGTAATAGGGAGGTTTCGCAAGCGAACGGATACGCTTACACTTACGCTTAGCTATCCGTATCCGTTTTTTACTTACGTGTAGCGAGCGAGATATGCGTGTCGTCTGCACGTTTAGCGGATAGTGAGTGGCGTATGACGTCATACGTGCAGACGACACGCATATCTCGCTCAAAACACGTAAGTAAAAAACGGATACGGATAGCTAAACGTAAGTGTAAGCGTATCCGTTCGCTTGCGAAACCTCCCTAATAGCGAAACTGTTCCCACCAAAAACGTAAGCCATATGATGTGTACATTCAAAAAGATCCTCAGTCCAGCAGGTATTTGCTGTGTTTTGGGGCACAATTTTCCTATTTTTTTTGGCAGCCGAAGAGGGATTTTGGACCGCCTTACCCCCAGGATATTATTATCATGTTATAGTTTATGAACAATCAACAGACCAGTTTGTTATTAATTAATTACAAGGCATTAAATATTAATTATTACATGTACCTGTAATTACATAGATCTGGTTAAATCATGAACGACACTGATTTGTCACATGCATGCCATTCTTATAACTAATAAACATTCCACACTGTAGAGTATAGAGATTTGCAAAAGAATCATCCTAGAGACGATTCCAATTTCAGAAGCTACGTCTCTTTTTAATAAAGTAATTATCACCTCGTGCCTTCATTAATCTCCAATCTGCATATTTCCCAAGCTTATATGGAATGATCCATGTGATAAGCCGTGGCAAAGCCTCTCTGCCATTTACAAAGTCATTATCGCATTTATTGCGATTCCATTCGGCTTGATCTTAGAGTCGTAGCAAGAGCTTGTTGTTTTTTCAAACAGGTGAAGATCGTATCAATGATATGTACAGATAATCCAAGCACAGTGTTATATAACACGCAATTTTGAGATTCAAGAGATAATTGGGTTTAATGATATAATCACTCATACTTGCATCCGATTACCTTGTGGTAAAATAACTAGGTGAGGCAAATTACACATTTTTTCCACATCGTCATTGACTTGGAGCTTTTTGGTCCAGAATGCTCAATAAGCTCACTTCTAGTCTAGTTGTGTTGGACTCGTACCCATGATCCCACTCTATTATTTTCAAAGAGTGAATCTTTCATCTGTCCTTGTGAAACTTCAGTCCATCCCACTGAAACTCAAGGAAAAAGACGTTTCAGAATGAAATTCATTCAATCGAATAGATCAAGTTTTCACTTGAGTTTTGACTAAGTGATTCTGTTTAAAAAAGTATTTCAGTTTTTAAGTTGGAGTGGTTTCCACTCTCATCTGGATCTTTGGAGGTAAAAGAGCACGCTTTTGAAAGCAGTTGGCTTACCCCCTCCGCTATTAGCGACTACATGTCGCCTTGTGTGACTGCCCCCTTTCTAGTTTGTTCACCACAAATAATAAGAAATGTGTGCGTAGGTCTATTTCTGTCACCAAGGTTTGAACAGTCGCCTTTTTTTGGCTCCTTTGTCAGCTCAAATACCGTAGTAGGGGCACAATCCTTAGTTCACACAGTGACCGTTGGCATTTCGCTGCCATCTTGAATGAGAAGCTTGGCCCACTGGCCCCTGATCTCGAGGATTATCTCTGCAGCACACAAACGCTTGACAAGTATTTGAGGAGATTTGGGGGGTCAACCTTTTCTCAAGAGGGGGTCAAAGGGTTTTTGACATTCCTGTTACTCAGTATTATTTTTACAATTTCACAATTTCTCAATTTTCCAATAGCATAGCATAGCGATAGGACACAGACACACAACTAAGAAATCACAAAAATGAGGAAATTCCAAGCCACATGAGATTTTGTACAATGTGTATCAATATTTTGATACACATAAAAAGTCAAAAATTAAGGAAATCAGGTGATCCAAGGAAAAGCTGCACGCCTGGTCACCATGAGGTAAAATTTAACCAAGATGTGCAAACAATTTTCCTATCGTTTTATGGGATCATCGCAACTTATCTTCATGCATGGGAACCAACCCTTTCGCAAACCTTCACCGAGTACATGTTTGTCCTATTATAGAATTCAGGTGTGTGAGTGACCACTGATAAAAACAGCTGAAAACAGATGAAAAAGGTGTAAAAAAGCTGAATGTTGGAGATCTCCTATACTTTTATACACAGCAAGTGAGGGAAAAAGCTGGGGAAAAAAGCTGAAATCCAAAACAAACAAAAAGCTGAAATCAGCTTTAAAGCTGAGATTTCACACCCCTGAGAATTAGAATGTGCACTAAATCAGAGCATTCACTGAAAACACAAACACATTTTACAAGTGTCCAAAGTTTTCAAAGCTTCCTTTGATAGTCTGAGTACATTCATGTTCCAACTGAAGCAAAAGAAAATGTTCAACTATTAACTAACCCCTCTCAAAAAAATCAGGCCAAGGTAACATCCCAAGATGACTGTGGCAAAACTCTATTTCCAATCTTTATTGACTCTAGGGCTATCACCCGCTACCTCTTGATTCTATTATGTTGCCAAGCTTACAGATAAGGAGCACCAGTGGGGGACCAATTTTAAGCTGTGTGCTTAACGGGACTTGGCCATAATGTACATTTTTAATGATTAGATAAAAGTAGGGGCATGGTGGGGCCCCCTCTTGGTATGGATAATGGGCACATCCGAATGAGAGTTTGTTGCTAGGATAAGAAAGGAATTTGATTCGGAAGTTGGTTGGAAGTATGAAAAGGGAAGGAACTGGTTCAAGAATGTGGAATTAAACAAGATTGAGAACGAGGGGGAAAATAACTAAGGAAACAGGTACATGTATGAAATTGGATGATAGTTTTTACATGTGCGCAAACTGCGCATGTATTTAAGTGAAGACAATAAGAAACAATGTAGCCGTTAAAGGGAATGTACATCATTGGCTTTTGCTGTAATTTTCAGAAATGAACTACATGTATTTGAGGGGTTAGTTTAATAGATCAAATATTGTTACACTGACATTTTTGAAGTTTTGTGTTCGAAAAGGTTGGAAAAACCAAGAAAAACAAAAATGTTCAAGTAGTCTGGTTCCCTGACTCCACAAAAGATAAAATGGATCAATTTACAGATGATGGAAAATTGTAAGGCAATGGAACCAGTCTAGCTGGCCTGCACCCGTTCATGAACATGTAACCAATAGCAAACAAAATTTGGACTGAAAAAATTGTCAATTTGGAGCAGTAGTTGAAAAATAGTTAGGTTTTTCCAACGCTGGAAATGTAAACAAAAATACCATTTTCTTGAAAATGACTTCACACCAGGTGCCATAATTTTACAAGATGCTTGAGACTGTCATTAACCAACATCCTAGTAAGGTATTTCGTAAAAACTTGGTAGTTTTATTTTTCGATGTTTGCAAATGTTGTATATTCCCTTTAAGAGGTGTACTGAGAGATGATGTAACAGGCCTCAACAACACTTCAGGTCAAAGAATTTGCGTAATCATTTTGTTCTCATTCAAGTGCTGGTGCTGACGTGCAGATCAGCACGGGAGCAAGATAAGGCAACTGAAATGTAACTGCGCGATACAATAACCAAAGAGTCCAAAAAGTAGGCAGGGTGGTCCTTTTTGACGTACGTACGAATATTTTCTATGGTTATCTTTGATATTTCCTTTATCTGTGACAGTCTTGTGTTTCTGAGTGGAAGCTGAAGTGCAGAACACACACGATAGCCTAAAAAGCAAGGCATGAAATGATGCCAGCAATTTCATTCCATAATAGAAATGAAGATACAGCTAGAGTAAAATAAGTAGTTACTGAACAACCTTACCCTTTTAGGAGTTGCCAAGCGCTCAAATGCAGAGATCAGGAGGAACATATTGTTTGGCAAACAGATTACCATACCAATTAACCAAACATTTTATTTATGTGAAACTTTTACGTCACATCTGACTTGCTCTCAGTTTACTTCCCCTAATAACTCAGAAATGTACATGTAGCTATGCTAAGCAACACTTTTTTTTCATGAAATGAGGCCCTGTTTGCAAAGACAGAGAGAAGTCAATTTCAGCATATGATCTTACCATTCTGACATTGCGTGCAGCTTGGCAGACATTGTGGTAGTCGGGGTGGCTGGGCGGTGTGTGGTCGTAATAATCAGTTAGGTACTTGTCATACTGGGACACACGTTGGACCTGAAAACCAACAGGAAAAAAGAATAGTTGTTTTCAATAATCTTGATACAATACAGTATTCCTCCGACTGACATCAATTCTTTATCTGGTTTTACCTTCTTGATTCAAATTTCCAGCGAGGCAGGGACTAGAATACAATGAGCCATGCACACAGAAGTCACATCAGTTCAACTACATGAAACACCAAAACTGAACTTTGATGAGAGCTTCGTCTCATATTATCAAGAACTCATGGCACGCTGGAGCAATACATTCGATTCAAATGAGCAGCAACCGAACTTCTAATCCGAGAGCAAGGCGAAGCGGACCAAAATAATTGGAGGCAACATATTTGGTCTCCAATTAGCTGGCTCTAACAAGCTGACGTCGGCCGCACCGGAAAACCTATTCAGATGTTGGTTGCTAGGCAACGTTAGGCATCTTCAAAGGATCTGGATGCTGACAATTAGCTGCTGGCCGTGAAGAAAAAAGTCAACAGGTTCTGGCATCTGGAGTCGTGTTTTTTTTTTTAAGTACGAACTATTTGGCTTTTTGTTATTTCTAAGAGAAGCATCTAATGAGGAAAACATGACATCGTCAAGACAAATCATCTTCAACTCTTGTGGTGAATTATAGGGATGCATTATACATCACAGAAGCTTTCTATAACTTGCCAATTTTCGTCTTTCCATTTAACAAGAGCTTCACAAATTACAAACCAGCAAACCGTGACACGAGCACCAAGGGCGCTCATAAAATTTCCCATTACAGAGATGGTCAACCTATGTTATGCTATACGGTGCTGTTACAAGCACACTGCAAAAGAGCATCAAAAATTCTGTTAAATTAATGGCTTTATATCTAATGCAGAGGTCTAGGTTAAAATTGGCAAAGTGACATTGCCTTCAACTTTATACTGAACTGCAATATTTCTAATTATAAACGGTAGGCCTGCAATATTATATTATTAAACAAGCTCAACTTGAGCTTATTCAGTCCAAGGCTATTATACCGTTCCGGTCAAAAGATTAAGGCCAGTGTTTTTTTTTCATTTTATTTCAAACTGCATTATTGAAAGTGCAATCGCCCATCTTCAGTGATATAAAATCATTCTTTCTCGTCTCTCTTTGTCCACGCAATGTTAACAAACCTGTATTTTTCCCTGTGTGTGCCATCAATAGCACACCTCCACATGTGGGTCAGAAAGAGATTCGTGACTTTAGTTAAAGCTTTGTAATTTTCCACTTGCTGTAAATTTCTGGATAAAAGGACCCACCACTTTTTCCTCTCTATATATAAACACAGTTGAAATGACACTGAATGGCACTGGGCCAAGGGTTCCAAGAGTTTAAGCAGGAAATAGTCCAAACAGACGTTTTTTATACATAAAAATGGAGCGTGTTTGACACGCGTACAGTACAGTGAAACGATTGTTGAGAAATTTTCATGGCGTCATTGATGTAAAGCCAGGATGACCTTTTGCACAGATGTGCTATATAATATGGTTAGAATCAGTAGCAGTGACCACTGTTATCAAAATACAAAAACTAGGAAAAAACTCATATTTTTTTTGCAAAAATTAGCATACCGGTGTTTCACTGTCGAGATTGTGTGTGCGATGTCCATGCGTAATTAACTGTTTATTAGACATGAAATGGTCCACTTCACGGTAGAAAATAAATAACCATCCCCTTCCACCAGGCTGACTACGGCTGTGGTCGAGTGATTTTTATTCAATGAAGCATGGAGTCAGAAATTCTGGAACTGGTAGTACGTGTACGTCATTCCTGTTTTCAATTTAGCTTCAGATCACTTGGCTCAGTAAGCTCACAAGAAAGTACCGTTATACACAAATGAAGGATTAAGGAAGGGGGGAAATGGGGGCCACAGTGGCCAGGACAACGACCAAAATTCCAGGCAGATTATTTTTTTTTGTCCCCCCGACCGCCCACTGAGCTGCGAGATTTCAATGGCTGCATTAGGATCTGATTCAAGCAAAGCTTTCAGTAAGCCCCATCAAGAAGCTATGCTGGAACAGTGCAGAGCTGGCCGGTAATACCAAATCACAAACTAAAAAAAAAAATTGGCATTTGTATTACCTTGGCCTCTTCTTTCCCACAACTTTCCATTATCAAGAGTATTACTTACATGTCCCAACATGGAGTCATCAAAAGCATAAGGCATCTTTATGCATTAAGTTCCTGCCATTCTGCATGTGTAATACCAAAAAAAATCCTCAGTATCGGTATATCGCTGGGAGCAACGTTTCCAAAGTGGCCTGTAATCCGGTGTAGAGATTCACGCACACAGACGAGGCCGCACAATAACGTGTCAACACAAACCCAACGCCGGGACTCCAGGCAAAGTTCGATTTTTTTTCTTTTCTTTTCTTTTTCTTTCCTTCTTTTCAAAGTGTATACAATGGTTGGATTTTGACAAGGATTAATCCTCGCAGATAAAGGGCTATTCATATGCTGATTATGGGATGACAGCGAAGAAGGCCAAAGGACTGTGGGGGAGGGAGGGAGGGGAGGGGAGGATTCTTAAAAGCAAAAGGAAACAAGAGTGTGTTTGTATTCATTTTTGCTCATTTCATCACCTTCATTATATCTCGTATACATATTTTGATTATTTGTAATTCTATTTTGCCTGTGTCTTTTGTTATTTGTTCACCTTCATAATATCTCATTTACATATTTTGATTATTTGTAATTCTATTTTGCCTGTGTCTTTTGTTATTTGTTCTTTCCTTCAACATTGAGAATCAGATATTTGTAAAGTTAAATGATGAAAAGGAAAAAGGAACAAAGATACTATCAGTGTCTGTGGTTTTTCTTTTCACTGATGAAAATCTCGAGATGGAATGAGAATGTTTAAGCCTGACAGATGTTAGCAACAAGAAAACACTGGTTATGAGTTCTACGAGTTACAAAGCAGATAATCTTACAGAAGACCATTTGGCCTTTTCTTTTGGGCAATGGGTTTTCATCCTCTTTCAAGGTTCAACGTACACACAACAAAACAGTTACTCTCTTCTCAACACCCTGCCCACTTTGTTCTTTTTACTAAAACCCAAATCTCAGAGGTGAATCTGTCTTGCTTCAAAATGATGCAAGATTTCAGCAGGTGTAACATGCAGCTGTATACAAATGAGATTTACATATAACTGTGTTAAGGTTAGGGTAAACAATGATTTTTTGGGGTGATCTTAAAAAGAACTTAAGATATCCTTCTTCTTTTTTTAAATAGATTGATATTGCAGTTGATAGACGAGGTGGTGTTATAATAGTTTGAGTGGTCACTCCCTCCCCCCCCCCTCCAAACTTAACCCATGCCCAAACTTCAAAAATCTGTTTATTTAGCTTTATATTACTCAAACAGTTTGGACTTGTGAATCAAAACAACTTTGGAAAAATTCCATTTAGTTCAATCATTTAAACTATCCGGATTTAAGTTTTTGTAACTATATAAACATACACAAGTAAAAATACATGTTGTTTCAGTTATGTCATCACCACTTTCCGTTTCTTCTACCCATGCACAAGTGTTCTGTCAATAAATCTTTTTTTATGAAATCTAATTTAAGGCGGGTGAATGTTGCATTCTGAATAACCTTCAAAGTAACCAGAATATGACATCATTGATTAGGATGGATGCTTATAGCCGGCACGATTTATTGATTCGGTCTCGCTGAACCAACAGGGCCAAGTCAACACACCAAGGCCAGAGAATTGAACACTTACCGGTATAATATACCTAGGCAGAGGATCAGGCATCAATTTTAGTTAAATATCAGGAGTGTTTACAGTGTACTTGTACTCTTGCCAAGTTTTAAAACAAAAATCAACAAAAACTATCCTTCCATCAAATCACAAAAGCAACATGAGACTGTTGCCAAATTTTCTGAAGAACTTAGCGGATATGGTGGATCTCAACCACGTAATATGTCAATCTACAAACTAGCAAGGACATCTACAACTGTTACATGTACAATGTACACCTATCTTGAAAAACATTAAAAAAAAAAATTTTTTTATAGATATAGTCACCATACCAGAAATGTGCAGTGAAACTTTGCACTGCACAAAACCTCCCATCTGTTGGTGCAAAATATCAGTGTACACATGTAGCTTCATGCACCACACAAAACTATCGGTATCTGTAAAAGAGTCTACATGGGAGTCACCACAATGTCTTTGGAAAGTGCCAGTAATAACACAAAAAAACAGCGCAAACCAAATTAAACCCTGACTCCAAAAATCTTGAATGCTATTACTCAATAGTGACGCAAGCCGAAACTTTCACAGGCATAATGAGCCTCTTAACAAGAACCCCTTTTCACCGTTTCATAACAAAAAAAAGCACACGCTTGCACTAAGTTGCAGCTTGTTTACTTTTTGGTACTGCTACTGCAGTACTTACATAAAAAAAAAAAGTCAGCTTGGTTGAAATGGCAGGGATCTTCTTTTTAATGAGTGCGCCAACAACCAAGGAAGCCTTTTAAGATGCAAGAGCTAATTGTTCTGCTCAGCTACTGTCGGTTTTGAATGGGGCTGTTCAACATGCAAATCAGACTTTTGAAAACACGACTAAAAAAGCTTTGGGGTTCTTCGGTACAGCATAACATGCTCCAGGGGTACTCGACAGGGCTTTTGTGTGGAGGACTTCAACCTCTTCGGGTTTTTTTTGAGACGTGGGGGTCCAAGTAGTCAAGAGGGTTTTTTTCTTTGTGGGGGTAGAATTTTACTTTGGCGAGGCCGGAGACAAAAAGACAATGATGTTGCAGGAGTGTGTCAAAATGAGCGGGTTATTTGATGTTGACAAAAAGTGGTGGGGTTTGTTCAAAGGGCCCAGGCTGGAACTGGTTAGCCTAGTACACATACATGTAAACAAAACAAAGAACGCAAACAAACGCACACTGTTTGAGGACACAACTGCAATTTAACTCAAGGGAAGATTCGTACATTGAGTTTTTTGTTACCTGTTCCATGTTTTTGAATTAACTATTTTTTGTACCTCAA